GGCTGGCCGCGCTCCTCGTCCGCCCGGTTCCCCGGCCAGGAGGAGGCCGCTGCAGAGGGAGAGCGCGCGGGGCCGGGCGCCCTCCCCTGCGGGCCCTGCGGACATGGGGCCTCTGGGTGGAGGGTGACAGGGACACCCGGGCTCAGTGTCGCACCCCCTGGAACCTTTCCCTGGCCTCACGTGTGGCATTTAACAGCTCCTCCTTGCTAGGTGGGGCGGTGTTGCCGCGTTCCCCAGGTATGGTCACTGAGGCCTGGAGTGACCTGTGGAAGGGAGTTTTCTTATCTCTTTAGGACATTTTTTTAAGAGATTTTTGTATAGGGCTCGTGGGCACACCAGAGACAGAGACAGCGAGAAGTCACCCCGGGGGGGGGGGGGGGGGGGGAGAGAGGCCACCATCTCCTCTCCATTCTCTTGGGATCTTGGGCACTCATGCAGCACCCAGGTCCGGGACTCGAACCACAGTTGACTGCGTGGGAGTCCAGCGATATAATTATTGTACCACCTGCTGGTCCTGTTTTTAGGAATTAATTAATTTTTAATATGACCAGAAAGAGAGAAAGTGAGAAAGCAAGCCGCTAGGTCCAGGACTCAAACTGCAGTTGACCGTATAGGAGTCCAGCGCCTTAACCACTATGCCACCTGCTGGACCCCACCTGGAAGCTTTTTAACATGAATAAAAAGCTGCCTTTAGGACATCTCCTGAGCTTGGGGACCAGCAGGTGGCGTAATGGCTATGTTGCTGGACTCCCACGTAGTCAACTATGGTTCGTGTCCCGGACCTGGGTGCTGCATGAGTGGCTTAAACTCACGCCGGGCATGTGCATGCATGCCTAAGATCCCAAGAGGAGAATGGAGGAGAAGGGATTGTGGCGTGGCCATCCCCCCGGGGCGGGGGTGATTTCTCGCTTTCTGGCGAGTGCACATGCGCTATAGCAAAAACCTCTCCAAAAAAAAGAACCTCTCCTGAGCTCAAACCCTTGCTGTACATCTGCTTAGAGAAGAGACAAAGTTAACCCTCTCTGACCTGGTACTGTTCCCTGTTGAAGGGGAAGCCGTAGGTCAGAGTGGTCGAATAACTCACCCAAAGGCACACAGCTACAAACGGCATTGCCACAATTGAGGTTGACCTCAGTCTGGCTCTGCAACTGCTCTTTCCACACATGTCCATGGGAGGACGCTGTATCTCGTGGGTCCTGGCAGGAGCCCAGGTGGTGTGGACCAGCCAACATGTGCCAGCCCTGTGCTCGGCCTGCCCCGCAAGGACGGCAGGACCTCATCGCCTCAAGGGAGGGTGTGCCCGGGCCAACCAGTGCACGCGGGATGTGCTTTTGGTCCATGGCTGGGGCGCCCAGCCCAGGGTCAGTGCAGGAGAATGACAAAGTGTCGTCAGCTGATCCTCAGCGCACCTGAGCCCTGGGGGCCAGGGTGGTCAGTGGTGTTCCAGTGTCGGTCTCCGAGGGTGCTAGGGGGAGATACTTCCTATGGGGACATCAGGGCCTGGCTGTCTTAGGCTGCGAAGAAATGCCTGGCGGTTGGTCACCAGCGTGCTCATCACCGGGCACGGTGGCTTCTGCTCTCCTGATACCTGCTGACGAGGCGGCTTGGTCAGATGCGGGTGGTCAGCCAAGCCATGACCGAGGGCTGCAGCTGTGGGACGGGGGGGGGGGGGGGGGGGGGGGGCCCGGGGCC